TGCTAACTTGACAGAAATCGAGAAATTTTAATTTTGGCTCCAGATTATGGATATTGATTGTTTTGATACGAAATGCACCCCGCCGATCATTAATCATAGTCTTTCCCTTACTCACGGATTACGAATTAATAATAAACTTGTTACCTAATATTTGCATTGGATTACGGCTGAGTTTTCTCCTGTCTGTTATATTGAACTGGTGTGCAAAATGGATTTATGTGTGTGGATAAACTTGAAATTAAGAATACTGTAGTTGCCTATCTTACTAAAACATCTAGACTTCATGTATACTAGCAAAATTATCAGATTAATTAATTATCAGTATTCAAATATTGGAAATCAAAATACTTGTTTTAGAATTCATATTAAATAATTTATTTGAAGCTCTTTGGTAATTGTCGTGCCTGAGGTTGACATCCGTCTAAAGTTGTAACTTCAAATGCTTTAAGTTGCACTTTACTAAAATTAATCCTTAAGATTAGATTAAATCTTCTTATATGAATTAGCTAACAATTTTAAACAGATATAACTTTTAGACGGGTGCTAACTTCAGGCACAACGCATTTTTTGAATTAGATATATATATGTAATGCAAAAAATTTAGTACAGTATAAATTTTTTTTTTAAACCTTTGAGCAAAAATATAAGCTAGGCTAGATACTAAAAAAAGAACCAAATCAACGATTTTTTCAAAAATCTTTAACTCAGGAACATTTTTTACTTAAGAAATAAATGCTATTTTATTAATAAATTTTGTGTATAACCTTTTAAAGTTTATATTATGATTTAATAGATTTTATAAAATTTTTTGCAAACCTTATTTTTTGTTAATTTGGTCTTTTTTTAGCCCATATCTTAACAACTATCTAACCGAATTTAATAAAAAAAAAATCTCATTAGCTTGATCAGGTGATTGACGAAAAATCACCAAGTTTAAAACAAAAAAATCTATGTATTTGTCTTAACAGTTATAGTGCTCCAAGTTACTTCTTATCAAAAATCATGTTATTTTTTAAAAAATCTATAAAATCTTAAGTTTTAAATATTTTTTAAAAATATAACCGATAAAAACCATTGTTTTTTTCATTAATTCTATCCGAATTATCAGTTAAAATTTTTTTAAAAAAGTTTAAAATTTAAAGTTATAAGTGCTTGAAGCTGCAAAAATACTATTCCTGATGGATCGGCAATACCGATCTTGATGGAGTTAAAAAAAAAAATTTATTTAGTACTGTTCCTGATAGGGTTCTAAAAACGAACCCTAATCCTAACTTTTGTTCATTATATAGTATAGTATTTTGGAGGCTCATTTTTAGAACCTATCAGGAACAGTATGTAAATCGACTTTTTTTTTCACCCTATCAGGAACAGTACTGACGATCCATCAGGAACGGTATTTTTGCCTTGAAGCTACTATGAGAAAAAATTTAAAAAAAAAATTTTTTTTATCCAATCAGAATTAGTATATAATGCATTCTGATTGGCTAAAAAGCATGATATAGACCCGCATTTGATGTGAAGTTGGAGCACCATACTAATAAAATTCGTTGAAAAGTTTTTATTTGAATTATACAAATTTATAAATCTCAAAAGAAAAATTTTCATCGAATTTAATAATTGGTTGTCAAAAAATCTTCGTCCAAAATCTTGTTAATTTAGGGTGCAAATTTAACTGGTGAGTATTTTATGTTACACATAGAAAATGATCAAACCGGGCACAGATCTGACCAACCTAATCTGATACTAAGCCTTCGGTTCGTAACGCGTCTTTGAAAATGGAAGTTGAATCGACGAGAATTACTGTACCTAAAAGTGGGAAAAAAAGGAAAAGAGCGAACAAAAATAAAAAGAAGCAAAAATTACAACCGATTGAATCCGATAATGAAGAAACTAGGATAAACAAAAAGCCAAAAATTAATGAGAAATTACTACAGAGTGAATCCGAGAATGATAAATTGCAACAGAGTGAATCCGATAATGATAAAATGCAACAGAGCGAATCCGATAATGAAAAAACTAGTATAAACGAAGAGCAAAAAATTGATGATTCAAATGTAATCGATGGCTTAAATCATGTACCAGAAATTGAAACTATAAGTATGAGATTTTTAGATATTCTGTTTAATATCTTTTTTCCTCGTTGCTCTAATTCTTATTAATATTAATAGATAATCTCGAAGACAAGATTAATTATGATTTTGAAGCATTAGATGTTTCAGAATTAACCAAAAAAGCCATCAGAGATAAGGGCTTTACTCGAATGACTGAAATTCAGGCTAGAGCTATACCACCTTTAATGGCTGGTCATGATGTACTGGGAGCCGCCAAAACTGGATCTGGTGACTTAATATAATATTTTTATTACTTTGTATTTTAATTAACGAAAAATAATTTTTTTTTTTTTTTATTTTGAATTATATAGGAAAAACTTTGGCATTTTTGATCCCAGCAATAGAACTTCTTTATAAGTTAAAATTCAAGCCAAGGAATGGTAACTTGATGTTTTTTTTTGATAAGAAATTTATGTGAGTACCCAGGGCGAAGTTCAGGTGTGCACTGCGAATTTAAGTGAAGGTTTTGACTACGTGATAAGTTAGCAAATGATCCTTCAGGATTATGATTTACATAGTGTTTAGAGTCGTTTTGTTAGTAAAGATCTCAAATCCAAAATGCTGCGGCAGTGGCATATCTGAACTTTAGGGCCACCCTGGGATAGTCAATTTAAACATTTTCAATAATTGCCTGTTTTAATAATTGTCTGATGAGATACTTTTCGTTAAAAGGAACCGGTGTAATTATAATTTCTCCTACAAGAGAATTAGCTTTACAGATTTTTGGGGTGACAAAGGATTTATTAAAATATCATAATCAAACATTTGGTATTGTAATGGGAGGTGCTAATAGAAGTGCAGAAGCCCAAAAACTAGAGAAAGGAGTGAATTTGTTGATTGCTACGCCAGGGAGATTATTAGACCATCTTCAGGTTTTCTTTTTTTTAAAATCATAAATAGCCTGTTCATTTTTCTAAATCATTTGCTGATGTAATTTTTTGAAATTATTTCATTAGAATACTAAGGGTTTTGTGTACAGAAATCTCAAAACTCTTATAATAGATGAAGCTGATCGTATATTAGAAATTGGATTTGAAAATGAAATGACACAGATTATAAAGATTCTCCCGAAAGGTATTGGCATTATTTGGCGTCAATAATTTCCAAGTATTGGTAATATAATAATTTCAAAATTGAATTTTTCACACGGTATAGAAAATCGGCAGTCAATGCTTTTTTCTGCTACACAAACAACAAAAGTTGAAGATCTAGCACGAATATCCTTGAGGCCAGGGCCATTATATATAAATGTTGACAGAGAAAAGGAGACATCTACCGTAGATGGTCTTGTTCAAGGCTATATTGTTTGCGACAGTGACAGGCGATTCTTACTTCTATTTACAATTCTTAAGCGTAATATCAAAAAGAAAGTCATTGTGTTCTTTTCGAGTTGTAAATCTGTCAAATATCATGCAGAGTTATTGAATTATATCGATGTCCCAGTTTTGGATTTACACGTGAGTAATTCGTATATGTATATTTTGATATATACAATTTATCTTGATATTTTGTCTTGACATTTTATTTTATTTATTTTATTTTATTTCTTAGGGCCAACAAAAACAAACTAAGCGAACGAATGTCTTTTTTGAATTTACAAACGCTGATCATGGTATTCTCCTTTGCACCAATGTCGCCGCTAGAGGGTTGGACATCCCTGCGGTTGACTATATCATTCAGTATGATCCACCGGATGATCCACGTGATTATATACATCGGGTTGGAAGGACAGCTCGTGCCGGTTGTCAAGGAAAGAGCCTACTGTTTTTATTACCAAGTGAGCTTGGATTTTTACGGTATCTTAAACATGCCAAAGTTCCATTGAACGAATTTCAATTTCAAGACAATAAAGTATTTAATGTTCAATCTCAGGTAATAATAACTTCTATTGACTATCGGTTATTTATAAAATTATTGATACTATTGATATTTATTTCCAATCATTTATAGTTGGAAAAACTTATCGAAAAGAATTATTATTTGCATCAATCAGCACGCGATGGATTCCGATCTTATTTGACTGCTTATGCTTCTTATTCACTTAAATCGATTTTTGATATAAATAAGTTGGACCTTCAAAAGGTCGGGAAAGCATTTGGGTTTCAAATACCCCCAAGAGTGAATATTAATATTGGTGCTAACCCAAAAGAATCTAAAAAACGACGTAGTGGATCCAGTAATGGACATAGTAAAAACTCGGATATCAAAGCGCATTTTGTAAAGCAAAGAAACAGCGCACTGAAAAATGGTGATAAACAATGGAGTAGATAAGGAGAATCATCATAACATCGAGATTAGTCGGATAGTATTAAAAAAAGAAAATATATAAATTATGTAATTGTAAACACACTAACGTACTTCTAAGAAAAAAGCATTATACATTTATTTGATACAAATAACCATATATTAAACATATTTAAAAGAATGTCTCTCATTTAACAGGATAAATTTGTCCGACAATGATAGTAAATTATTTGATATAACTATTCAATACTATAATTATCATGCATATGACTTCGTCTGGGTACTATCGGTGCTTGTGAAGGAGCATTTGGAGGATGGCCTATCATCGGCATTACCTGAGGAACTGCGATCATCGGTTGAACAGACTGTATACCGCCCATTTGCATATTAACATTTGGCGGAACAATATGCATTCCTTGTACGTTGATTGTTTGCATAGTTGGTATTGCACCCATTTGCATAGGTACCGTCATTGGAGGTACGGGAATTCTCATTGGAGAAGGACCCGTTTGAATCACGCTGTAGTTATTGGAATTTTCAAGTATATCTTGGAAATATACATGCTTTAGAGCATTCTTTGCGGTGATTCTCTTCTCAGGATCATAAACTAACATTTGAGTAAGTAAATCCATTCCATTACGATCGATCATGGGAAGTAATTGACTCATATCTTGAGCAGTGTATGCAGTATATTGCTTATGGTAATCAGGATACTGCGTAACGCCTTGCCATGTTGCTTCGGTTGGAGTACCCATGATACGAAAGATTTTTACCAATTGGTCATCGTTAGTTGTACCTGGAAACAGTGGACGACCAGTATACATTTCTGCCATAATGCAACCAGCAGACCATATATCAATTGAGGTTGAATATGATCGAGAACCTAGAAGTACATCAGGTGAGCGATACCATAAGGTGACAACCTCATTTGAAAAAGTAGTAACTGGAATTCCAAAAGCTCGTGCAAGACCGAAATCGGCAAGTTTTAATTGACCCGCTTTGTTGATTAAGAGATTTTGAGGTTTAAGATCACGATGAAGAACTCTATTTTCATGACAGAAATCTATTCCTCTCAACATTTGGTACATAAATAATTTGATTGTCACAGGATCTAGCGCACCATGATTCCCGTGTGAGTCCATATACTTTTTGAGATCCTGGTCCATATATTCAAAAACGAGCATTAATTTATTTTCAGTATGAATTACATCCTTAAGTTTCACAATGTTTGGGTGCTTCAATTCTTTCATCAATGATATTTCCCGAATTGCCGTCGAAGGAGCACCTTCCTCTGAATCTAAATGAATTTCTTTTAAAGCTACAGTTTCACCAGACCTTCGTTCTTTGCCTTTATACACAGTGGCGTATGTGCCCTCGCCCAGTTTTTCCATTCTCACATATTCCCTTGCAGACATTTTGATATACTTTCTCTGGCACTTAAGTCAGTAATAATTTTGTAATGCGCCTAAGTTTTATGTAATCCCTTCAGTAATTAAATGAATTAAGTGTTACAGGTTAATAAAGAACTACTAAAAAATAGCTGTTTTTTCACTCACCTCAGACAAATATATGGAATTCAAATAGTACTGAGCACTATAGTCAAAGAAAGACTCCGAAATTATAGTTATAATATGCTGCGGTTTATGTTGTTATATTGCAGCATAGTGGACAATTTTGTAGCACAAGCCTTTCAAATTTGAAATTTTGACATAGTACCGATTCAGTACCGATTCGTCCAATAAAAAAATTGTATGATACAAGAACCAATCAGAAGTGTTTAAACGTATTTAGGCGTAGTATCCGACGGATTTTACTATCAAATTCAGTAACGGATCCAAGCTCTGGTAACTGAAATATTTTCGTCTAAGACTACTTTGCTATCTATATTTAATGTTTAAATTTGGTTGGTTCTTACAGTTTGTCAATCGTAAAGTTTTAGTTTATATATATATATTGATATTGATATTGTAAATTCTTCAATGAATTCGGATTTATAATTAATAAATAGAAATTCACTTCACTTTACGCGTATCTATCCTCTAAATATATGTAATAAATCCTTTTGTATATATTTTATTAATTTATTAAGTTTCAATATTACAGTATTATCGCGTGAAAATTCTGACTTATATTCGGTTCAAATACCCCCTTCACACGAGTACAAAATAAGTTCAATTTGATTGGGTAATGATCACGGCAATCACGGGAGATCTATACGTGATTAGGTTAATTTTTTTTCTTTTTATTTATAGCTAACTGTTTCTGCAACCTTTTTTTTACATTCTTTTCGCGAGTTAGTAGAAAATGATCTCAAAAATTGTAAAAGAAATGATCCAAAAAACTATGTATATATGCAAAGGTTCTGCATTTTCTTCAAAAATGCTATGTAAACAAAGGTTGCTCTCTGCAAAATGATGGTGGTTGTGCTCCTGGTCAATGATCGGCTGACTAGTGATCGGCTAAGCGCCATCATTGTGCACGTTTATATAGATTCGCTACAATTGATGTTTACGAAAATATTATTTACTAACCAATTATTCTGCAATAGGTAAAATCAGAAATCCTTGGCAAAATATTATAAATTCATAGAAAGAAATTCGTTTAATTGGCTAGTGTAAATCAATTGCCCAAACTCATTTATACATTTTAATGCAAACATTTGTTTATAGCTTCAACAAAGTGTTAACTAACGTTTATTGTGCAAAAGGGTTAAAAAAAAAAAAGATCAAACTTCAGAAAAGCTTATAAGACAAAATAGGCTTACCATTTACTGGACCATGTACTGTAATTCTGTAATTATACTGTGGAATAAGATAACTGGAAGCATTTTTGTTCAAGGCTACCTTATTATGTTAGATTTAAATAAACTTTATTGCTAACAATATATATATATATTTTTTTTTGAATATTAATGGTGAGACGCTAACAATATATTTAATTTGAGTATGATTAAATTTATAATAGAAAATCCAGGTTTAATGCTCGAATATGTTCTATCGATCGTAATAAGTGTGGTTTGTAAATTGTATATTGCATTAATAAGTTTGGGTTTATTAATAATAAATATCACTTTCACTCATTTTTCGTGTAATTCTTTTGTATATTTACGATAATTTTTTAAACTATGTAATTTGATTGGTTAATTATCACTGGTGGTTATAAAAATCAACCAATCAGAAGAATTTCTTCCTATGAAAAAGTGCACACTTTGTTAATATACTTGTAGCTGAAACCATTTCAACTTATTCGAAACTAGTTATGGCATAAGCAATAATAGTTTCGACACAAGCTGAAATAATATCGACCATATATGCTTTGTTAAATTTTTGCTTAATAAGCAAAATTTTTTTTTAAAAAAATATAGTTAGATCAATTATTACAAGTCCTGCGCCTCCATGTGCTGGGAGTTATTGAATTACGGGTAAGGGTGAAGGCGGATCTTTGCTCATAAAATGACCCTTCGGAACTATAGTCCCGAAGGGCCATTTTGTTAGCAAAAGATCCATATTGTTTAATCTATTTTTATTCAGCAAATCGGCTCATCAGCCCTATTGATTAGCCTATTATTTCATGAACATACAACCAGTCGATCCGTTTTGTATCTATATGAATAAAGCTAAATTCATTTCGGGATCTGATTTGAACTGCCATACAAACTTATATAATCGGTTTTCATATCTCGGCCGGCTCAGCGGAGCGGAAATCCATTTTTATATCATGTGACCAACCCAAAATTGTATTGATCTATCATAATATGAGACCCTCCAATAAAACTTATTTGGTCAGCACTCATAATAACTTTTAAGCAAGCTTGAACTAGACTACACTTGATTTTACTTCAAAAAAGAAACCCATTTATATATAATCGTTACCGTTACACTTAATTCTCTAAAATAACCGATTAAAACTAGATAATTTTATCAGCTAAATGACATATAATACAGGTTTTTGTAGTAGAAAGAGTTGATCAAGTTTATCGCGTTGGGTAACCCTTTCTACTATAAAAGAATATTTTAATGAAATTTATTATAGAGTTCTTACCCAGGTCAGGGCATTGACCCGGGTTATAACCCGGGTCAACGGGTCGAACAGAATTCATAAAGTTTGATATAACGACTTTTAATTAGAGCTGTTAGTAAGAGAGCAGCCTGTACTCCAAATGTTTAAACTGGAATTTTTCAGAAAAATTTTTCGAGATTTGAGTTCGTTCATTTTCTACTTCGGGAAATGCGAACTACCACAAAATCCAGTATGGTGGACAATCTTCATTACCAGAGCCAAGCTGTCCAATAAAAAATCTAGGATCGTCAATCACATGAAATTAAATGATTGGTTATCTTCTAGCATGTGATAGTTGACCA